GTGCAAATTGTCTCTTTTTCTTGCCTGTGATGCAAGGACAACCTTGCATGAGAAGAAAGGTAGCATATTTTATTTCCTTCTTAAAAAAAAATTAAGGAAAGAAAAATAAAAAAGAATGAGCTTTACAATGTTTTGTAATTTGAAACAATGGAAAAGAATTTAGATCTCTTAAAGAATAGCTAGTTTGGATAACTTCCTATTTACTCGAGATGGCCATCTCAAGGTTTTGAATTTCATTTGTGGGGGTTGTTGTAGAGAAGTTTAGAGCAATAATAAAAGAATCGGAAGTTCGAGAATAAAAAAGCTCTTTTGTGTTCGACAAAAAAATTGTTCGTTTGTTAATTGAGCCAAATTTTTACAAATATTGATGTAATATGGTTGTCTATTATTATATTTATAGTATCATCTTATTATAAAAAATAAAATAAAATTAAAGTATGAATTCTTTTGCTAGAAAAGTATTTTTCAAGCGAAAGAGTTGATCCCAACTTAACCAAATAATTTCGTTAACGGTTTTTACTGAATTATTCTAACACGATACAACTCGAACTTTTTTTTATAAATAATTATACAAAATATAAGCTCAGAATAAGAGTTTTTTTCTCAAACGATAAAAAACGAACGAACATAAACATTATTTAGAATTTTGACCGCTTGCTCACTGGAGACCTGCAAAGACGCCGAGAGGTGTTCCTGGCGTTAAACCTCCGACGCTCAAGTCAGTAGGGATATAAAAGAGTTGTATGTATTTGTAAGTAGTATCAGGATTTGTAAAGTGTGATTCCTCTTATCTGCTGCCCCCATTTACCTATTTATATGGAGTTATTTAGCTTCTTCCATACGCTTTGTTCTTCCTCCGTTGGATTATTTGTTCCACTTTGATCTTGACATTACACATGTCCTTTGTGGACCGCCTTTCATAACCACCTCCACAGGTCGGTCTTCAGCTTTGTAGAGCATCATCACCGATTGACTTTTCCTTAAAAGACCCTTCTGTTACACCGCACCGAGCTATTGCTATGACGAGCTAATGGGCCTTGTTGCTAGGCTTGCTATGACGAGATAATGTTCCTCGTTGCTAAGCCGAGTTGTTGCTATGATGAGCTAATGCGCCTCGTTGCTAGGCTGAACTGTTGCTATGACGAGCCTCATTGGCATTGCTAGGCCAAGTTGTTGCTATGACGAGCTAATGGGCCTCGTTGCTAGGCCGAGTTATTGCTATGACGAGCTAATAGGCCTCGTTGCTAGGCCGAGTTGGTGCTATGACGAGCTAATGGGCCTCGTTGCTAGGCCGAGCTGTTGCTATGACGAGCTAATGAGCCTCGTTGCTAGGCCGAGCTGTTGCTATTCTTACTATAGCCCTTACCGGTCCAC